AAGCGAATTTCAATTTGCCTGATTGAATTTACACTAAAATATCACATTAAAAATATCACATTTATTCCCTATTTAAATAGCAATACTTTAACAAGTACTTCGGTTTGCTGCGACAGGGAGGGTAAAAACGTGTTTTTAGTAAAATGTTAAATAGTTTAGTATAAAACAAATGCATTTTCCAAATTTGATAAAAATATTTTCATATACAGGCTAACTACAACAAGTTTTCTTATTCTCCGTAAGAATAACATAGGAATTTTAAATTTAAATTTTTTTTTGGAATTTTCTCCGTAACTAGGTATTAGGCCTATGACAACGCTTCAATGTACTAAATTGTTTTTTTTTTTCTGAGCCCTAAAATGGTTTCGAAATAAATTGCAAAATTTTACGTTTTTAGGGTCAAAAATGGGGAAAACCAATTTTTACCCCATAAAACCCCCCATAAACACCTGTTCCCATGGTCCGATCATGCTGGTTCGCGAACTCGTTCAAATAAATGTAGGTTTACATGTTTGTACCAAATTTCATCGAATTCGGATCATTTTTGCTTGAGTTATTGTGCTAACGGACACATTTGACCAAAATCTTGGACGCCATCTTGAATTTTGGTCTTCCGAGACTCCGATTTCATTAGACTTTTTTTCCTGGAAAATACACATAATTCTAAGTCAAAATAACCAATAAAACAATTTAAAGCAATTTTTTTTAGGGTTCTCGTACGGATTTACTCGACTATAGTATCTTCAAGTGTTACCAACTTGTATTTCAAAGCGTACACGTATTACGTGCCTAATTAAAGCACACTGTTTTGTGTTGTTAGGTTGAAATACTGGAGTGCGTAAAAAAGTGAGTGCAGCAAAAGTAAAATGAGTGGTGGCAAAAGTCAGTAAATGCAGCAATTAGCTACTTTGCGTGCTATAATCAGTGTAAGGAAGGTAACTGTAGGAAAATAAACTTTAAATTATAATGTTCCTAAAATTATGTGTTAAAAAATATTCATTTAGTTTTGATAGAGTTTGAAATATAAAATTGATTAGTTAGATTGCATCTTTAAAAACATTCCATCAAAACGTATAAAAATACTCTTATTATTAAACGTTTTATGTTAACTATTAAAATTTAAGAAAAAAGTGCATCAGCGCACTCGTTTTACAATAAATTTAGGTTATGTTGTTATGAATCGTATACTAATGAAGTGCAAATTAAATACAACAGGGAATTCGTAAGGCTACAGTTTTGTTTTACATTATTACAGAATTTCTTGTACATTACATTTTAAATCCAGTAAAGACTTCTTTAAACATGAGCGTCTTACGGTACGCAAACAAACGTTAACGCCAGCATAATATTGAAATATGTCACAGCCACAAAGCAGCACATTTCACGTCCTGAGGTCCAGGCTTTGCATCAACCAAAACACAACACCGGTTTCTCTATTTCCACACAAAAATAACCAACAGCTATATCAAAGAAAGCTTTCTTTTGAAACGTCCTTGATTATCCTGCATCTGTAACAGTCGGACGACTAGTGTCGGCTATGAAGTCCAACAAATGGTTTTTCACAAGCATACTCACCATACTAATAGACGCCATTAAAAAAAGACAGTGCTCTGAAATTAAAAATACAGGAGCAGTTTTATGGTTGAAACCTTTTTTGAAAAGATAATATAGTTGGTTTAAATGAGGTCGTATTGATTGCAAATAATACCTCAGCATTCGTTTTGCCGTCAGGAGTACTATTTCTCGCTCATCCACATATTTATTAAGCTCAGTAATATTGAATGTATATGAATGTGATATGAGGAACTAAACAATATTGTTATGTTTGGTGTCATATATTTGCTGGCAAGGGTTTTTAAAACAAATAGTAATACCAAATAGTAATACAAATAGTAATAAGGTAATTTATAACCTTGTGTCTCATCATATACGCAGAAGCCCAGAACAATAACTCTTATAAAACTATTATACATATACATTTTACCAACGTTCATCGAGCATATATATATTCTTTATGGCGTTAATACTGTGATATATAGATAATATACCACTGAATTGCCTACTCATTCCATTTACCACAACCATCAACAGCAATAATTAATTACAGTTTTTTTTTTAATGACCTTAGATATAATATGATTTTCAGGTAATACTTTATGTTACGAGTCAGGTACTGAATAATACTTCAATGTATGATACCTAAATCTTAAAGATTATGTTGATATAATTTACTCTACGTGAGTCAAACGTGTAGTTTATGTAACTCGTAGGCCTACTCGTTGTATGCCCTGTTTTTGAAGGAAGAAACCTGTTAGGGGTGCGTTGCAACATCAATGTTCTCTACTTATATGTGTGTGTAAGCCTCAAGAGTGAAACCTTTGTTAGAGATGTCCTTTGACAAGAATGGCGGCAAGATCTCCGTATTATGCAAAGTCCTTTGTTTTCTCTCCGTGATGCACGGGAAAATATCTCTACTCTTTACGTTTTGCCGGACCATACACGATCAATATTCAAAATTTATAAAAACATCTATTTAAAGAAACAACTATTTGCAATCTATCTATCTATATATTAACAGGCAAGCATGTTTCTTTAAAACCTTTTTTCTCAGCTTGTGTGCATCGTGGGGTAAATCTGCGCATACCGTTAGAAAGCAATTTTCCTGTAGGTGTGCAGAATCCCTTTATAAATTTAAATAGGCTCAAAGATAAGCACAAAAAATGAGTTTGAAAATTTGAAAAAATTAACATGGATTTTATGCGTTGCCTGGTGACGAAATAACAACGAAATATAAACAGAAAATCAAAACAAATGGAAGAAACTCCAATCACATGTTTTATTTACAGTGTGGGGTGGAAATAGAGAAGTGAGTACATTACATATTTTTGGTCGAGTTTCGACCACTGGACGACCTCTCGTATAATATTAATAGGCAAGCATGTTTCTTTAAAACCTATTTTATCACTCTGTATTTGAAAATGGCCCATTTACACCCAGCTGAGATTTTCGAAAATCGTCAATTTCCATACACCAAAAACAAATAGTGATCAGCTTACTTTTCCTGACATAAACATTACTTTCGCTACACAAACAATATTTTGCCTGACACCAGCAAAGTTACAACTGAAGTTTAATAAAGTTGTTTTTTCATCGTGATGAAAAGTATCGTTCAATACTCGTCACGAAAGTCCCATTTTGGGGCTCGATAGTTTTGCTCTCTTCGACTAAAACGTTTTAAACACTATCTCGCCCCGAAAACGAAATGGGTTACAAGTACGTGACAAGTAGTGAAATATACTATTTCACCAGCTCGTGTGCATCGCAGGGAATATCTACGCATACTGTTAGAAAGCTATTTTGCTGTAGATGTACAGAATTACGTTTTAAATTAAAATAAGCTCAAAAAATGTATTTTAAACTTCAAAAATTAACCCTTATGGCCTTATGGGCCTTATGGGTTGCCATGATGGTGACGAAATAACAACGAAATATAAACGGAAAACCATAAAAAATTCCAATCACATGTTTTATTTACAGTGTAGGCTGAAAATAGAGAAGTCTGTACATTCGATATTTTGGTAGAGTTTCCGACTATTGGACGACCTTTAGTAATGTTTAATAAATTTATTTTCACAAAACGATTGGGAACAAACAACGCTTCAAATTACTAATCCTAATTAGGACTTAGATGAATTTAACTAAGTAAATGTTCTTAATTTTAATATGAAGCATAACATGGAATATTGATATTCAGACAGACTTAATTTAGGACAAAACGTTATTCATAGCTGACGACATGACTTACCAGGTAATCAATAAGCATACAGTTTAAACTCTGTCCACTAAGTTCTCGTCAAGTTAAAGTTGTAAAGATGAAGTTACATGGGCAATCAGCTGATAAGGCAATACCTTTACTGACAATACGCAGTAGCGACTGCATCGAGCTACATCACCTGTATAGCTTTTAGCTTTCAGTGAGCAATTGCCATATAGTTCAATAAGCCTGAAACTCTGTCCACTAAGTTAGTGCAGAGTTGAAGTTGTAGATATGAAGTTACATGGGCAATTAGCTGAATCAGTAGCGACTGCACCGAGCTACATCAACTGTACAACTTGGAGCCTAATTGACGTCCATTCATTACTCATTCGGCTAATATCAATCCAGTCTTCACTCATTTACAAGGCTAAAAGCCTGGAAGAAACGTAAATACAATTCTTTACATAAACAATTATTAAGTAATGGAAAGAGCCGACTCACTACACTTTTGTTACTACGATGTTTTAAAATTAATAAAGATGCATCTACCAAATTTATTGTTGTATGTGAACGATAAAAAACGATTGTGAAAATTTCCCTTATATGACGCAGACGCATATAAAATATAATATATTCTTCTCTGGTTTACTTAAATGACATTTACACATCGTGGCCAAAAAGTGCAAATAGTTGTCGGCAGTTAGGAGGAAGTAGACCAACACATATATGCGCCCGCGGTCTATAACAAAAAAAATTGTCATAATTATGCTAAAATTCGTGCAAATACAACATGAAAATCACAACCACCATGCGTTATAAGGTCACATCACACAATACATACTGCTAGTTTAGTTTTAACACAATAACATCATTTTACTAAGTGTTAATCTTGTATACTGAAGAGGCTAAAAGGATATACATTTTCTACACCTTACGTTATGAAAAAAGGTTGTACCTTTTGAGCGTTCCCTATCTCTTTTGGAAATGCCTATATATTTCCTCTTAAAGCATTAACCAATCGTATTATACCATCGTACAAAAAAAAAACATTTGTAAAATAGATAACATTTCTTGGCTAGTAGATTGTTGATGGGAAGAACTATGTATATTCCTTCTTTGAACTAGATTTTAAGGCCTCGTCAACTTTTTTCGCAATGAGTTTGCTGTAACAACAAAATGTTGATTGCGGCGACACAACCAGAAGTGAGATAGCCTGTAATCAGATGGTTATCAGCTGGGCGGAGTGATATCTGCCTCTGTCTCTTGACCATCGGCCCAGTCAGCTGATAGAAGGTGTTGGAGGTTCTACCCTGACAACCCAGTACAAGGCACTCTAACACAAGGTGAATATTGTTTTGACTGTTTTATTATTAGGCCTACTGTATTTACTACGTGAACACAACTTGCCATTTAAGAAAACAGATTTTGTTGTGAATCAAATTACACTTACGTTGTTTTGATAATTACATGTACATATTTTTAGTTAGGGATATAGTTGATTCTTATTACAAGTAACAAATATAGCAAGTGTATGTATTAAATTTAATTGTTGACCTTTAATTGTAACCAGACAGTAAAAAAACTAACATTTGAGGTTTTAAAATAAATTAATAGTTTAATGAGAGGTATTTCATAATATTCAAAATGGATTTTTTATTGATCGGTTTAAAACTGTTTTCAATTAAAGTATTTTATAAATCGCCAATTATGACATATTTAATAACCACGCACTTTCTTTTATGGGACTAAGAACCTTAAAACCTGGTCTGTACAAAATGCTGTTGAATGATTAACCATTTAATTTTTGCCAATATGTAGAAAAGTAATGTTTGCAAACGTACGTAATTGCATATTTGATTCAGATTTTTATCGAGCTTACTATATTCATAAAATACTGTAAAACTGTGTTTCTAGCATGGGTTGAAATATTACGAATTTTTCGTTCTTCTCCCCCTGATGAATTGAAGATTGAGTCGTTGTCAAACAAATTAGAGAAATAGGTACGATAGACTGAGCTAGGTGTGAGAAACTGGAGAGAGATAATTGCAGCAATCTATCACTCAACAACGTTGAAGTTGGATTAACTCGGGAGTTATTATTGTTACTTACAGTAGGTCTTGAAAAACTAATCCGTTTAAAAATAAGTAGTGTCTAAGTAAAGCAAATTTAATTCTTAAAATATACCAACTAGAACAACAGCGAATATTTTTATAGTGTTCACCATTAAAATGCGTAATTCAGTAATCCGTCATACAATACTCAGACTTTATAATAAACAACACAAAAAGTGTGATGATTTTAGTTCCATTAAAGTACACAGAATGCACGTCTTATGGCATATACATGTATAGTTAACTAGCCGCTCCCCGTGTTTCGCAACCGGAAGAGAAAGCGTAATGCTAATGTGGTTCTTCAGATTTGCTGTATGAAAAAGATACAAAAACATAATTATCATTTTAACAATAAAAACTATAGTGTGCCACTTTTTTTGAAAGACTTATCCTCATTTTAACTTAGGTAAATAGTTTAAAATCCCTATTAGGCTATCTAACACCAAAAAGAATAAAGGTTATACACAGAAGCCCCACGCCAAGCTAAAATATGTTAAAACCTTTTATTTACTCTTTATTCTGTGTTAGTAAGGTGTATAATGTTTTTGTAAGTACGATGGAGGTCGTAATGCTTGTTTAAAAATACTATATTTATAGGCCAGCAATTATTTAATTTAAAGATAGGCTTGCTTAAAAGTATACTTATAAACCCATAACTTTATATCATAAGTCAATAGATACAAAATTATCTTTACATTTTCTCTAGTCTACCATTATAATTTATGTCACCACGTTTATAATGATGCCTTTATCTTACATTTTTATGTTTAACCTAAACTCTTCGAATTTAGTGAGATCCCTTCAAATATATTCCAGCTCATTATAACAATTTTATAGTAAGCAAAAAGCAAAATAACACAACACTTTCACTGGATTCCCTAATAGAAGATCTTCTTGTCATTTACACTCGAATTTCCTTCTTGTAAATGAAACAGCCTAACAAAAAGTTCCAAACAATATTTTAATGTTATATTTATAAAAATAACATTTAACTTAGGAAGTCAGTGGGCCGTAGCCCTAGTAGAGTTTCAAAATGGAAATAGGCACACATTCATCACTAGTATATTGACTCTATTCCTGTACAACTTAGCTTGGTCTAGTGGTTTTGACGTGATATGAGATTCGTTCACCCTGCTATCAAAAACATCCACATTTTCACATTTTAATATTAGCTGGATGGTTCACGCCATTTTTTTGTCTATTACTAATGTTTCACCCCCTAACAGATTTTAATTCCAACAACATTGTATCAAACAATTTATGTTTGCAAATTGAATCGGTGCCTGTTGTAAGATTAAAACATATTACCTAGATTTCCTGGATAATATTTGTATATACAGGGTACAAAATGTCTATAAACATTGTGTGTAAATACACACAATGTTTATTGGAAGTTTGTACCCCCTTATAAATATTCCACATGATAAAAAAACATAAAAATCAAACAAAGATGGGTCTGATATGTCCATGTAATTTTTGTGTGACAATGCGTTTATGAATTTTATAATAAGTAAATTTTTCTATTGTTGCCGCTCCACGTCTCAGTAAAACTAATGGATATTCAGATTTTTGGTAATTTAATTGACTATTGGTAATGAAAGAATACAAGGGGTTATTTTAAATGTATGATAACTAAAAGACTTATTGTATTCAATACCAAATAAATAAAAGCAACAAGTAAATGTATGTTGAAATTGTTTTTGTGGGTTTATTAATCACTATTCTGAATTATGCCAGAATTTCGTAAGAAATTAAGATAATTTACCCTAGATAAGTATTAATTGAAGAAGTGGTGCTTTTCATCCAACTCAGATATATATATATGTTATAACGTTCGCTACACCTTTCTCGTGCATTTGAAAATTTGCATTACCGCTCTACATATGGTCTTGGATCGGATTGTAAGTAGTTTTGGAACTATTTTCATCATTGTGCATGAACTGTAGTTTGTTGGTTAACTTGTTTTGGTTACTAGTTAGTTATTTGTGAGTGCACAAAAATATCTTCAAACTACTGGGAAAATGTTTACGACATGTATTTTGTCACTCCAATGAATACCATTGGTCAGTTTTCATTGGTCATACTGAGACAAAGTCAATTTACGTTATATGCAGTTTTAAAAAATTAACATGCATTTAAAGTGCCTCGTTATTTCACTATCAGTATATGATCTTTGTTTGGAGTCATATCTTATTGTTCATCGATTCTAAATCACCATTAATTTATGTCTTGCACTGATAAATATAGCACTTCGTACGATGACCGGAATGATAAGCAAGACCCTAAGACCCAGAGGTTAAACTGTTTTCGTATTAATGCATAATGTTACAGGTGTAAATAATGAAACTGTTGCATTTTATAAATAGCATAGAATATTAAATAAAGTAATCGAGTAGAAATTACTGAAACATGTTTTCCACGGCTTATTTAACATTCAAAAAAGGTTTCCTCCATCTAACAATGCTCTGGTAAAATATTTATTTTAAATCGAATTCATTTAGCCTATTATAGATGCATAGCAAAACAAAACTATTGAGTAGGGTAAATAATTATGTTTATCCTTGTTAAAACGTTTATAGGAAGCTGTAGGTGAAAATATTGGGTCAATCTATGAGTAATGTATTATTTGTTATGACTTTGCTACTGCTTTCGAACTTAATGCCTTTAGTACCATAGTCGTAACGGCCATCCGTATATCAATGTTTGCTTCATAAACTTCTTCAAAACATATAATATCTGAACACTTTTCTGAGTAATGTTTAAATTTGTAGATGTGATTGAGAATACTAATTCGACCTAAAGTTCTTCTTTTTCTCCTTCATTTTGACTGTTTTATACTAATTCAATGGTAAAAAATCAATTTTTACACGGAAAATTACTCTTAATATTGAATTGCTCTTGCTATTAAGTTCTTAAAGCTTAGACCGTGAATAATTGTATTTACTGAATAAGCATGTTTGAAGGACGTATTGTAGCAACAAAAATATCACAAAAATGAAGCAACGAAGAATATCGTTAACGTTTTATCACTGATTCATTACATTTTAACAATTTTTCAGATAAAATTTTATTACTACACTGATGACCCAGACCATAACATTTGCCACTTATGTGTAAACAGCAGCTTTGATAACTGTAAGACATCCATGGGATTTTACAAAAATTACACGTTTTTTGTTTGGTTAACATTAAAAGTAGTGTTTTGATACACTTTCAAAGCCTCAATACTAAATTTCCTCGCAATGAAATCCTTTTATTTATTATGTTATTTCTTCAGTTTTATTCATTTAATCAATTCTGTTGTATGGTTTGGCGCGTTCAAAAATTAAAAAAAAATACCCTTTCGTGAACATTAAATAAAAATTAGCACGCTTCAATTTATATACTTGGTTGAAAACAATTTTTAATATATGGTTTATAAAATAACTACCTCAGACCCTATACATTACCAAACGCACATTACATTACTAAATGGACAAACCCTCTAAAATGACCCATATTTCCCCCCGCTATATTATATCACACAAAAAATTTTATGGGTTTCCCAGTATAACCTATGTTTGGTCCATGTAGGATAACGTCCAGAGATCCTTCTGTATTGTTATTTGACGCATATTATTGTTTTGTAAGGTGAAATTATAGTTTAAAAGCATTTATTTAAGTTATACTATTGTGTTTAATCGAAATTTAACTTTATAAAATTGTTTTTGGCGAATTTTCCATAGGGAATAAGCTATTACCGTAGGTCTCATGGTGTGACCTGGACCCGGGACCGATCCTTTTTTCGTTTTGAGGTCCCCAGAGGCCAAAAACACTGTCCGTTCAAGTTCATTAATACATTTATTTATTTATGTGTCCGTTAGCACGATAACTCGAGCAAAAATGATTCTATAGCTAAAAAGAATAATTTAGTACATTGAAGCGTTGTTGTATGCTAAACAGTTATGGAAAAGTAAAACAAAGTGTACATTTAAAATTACCATGTTATTTTAATGGAGAATAAATAAACTGTTGTAGCTTGCTTGTCTATGGACATGTTTTAATGAAATTTTGAAAAATGTTTCACTTCATTATAAGCTATCAATATATCAATAAAAAACACACCTTATCATCTTCCCTGTAGCAGCAAACCTAACTCTTATTCATAATATTTATATAGGAAATAAATCTGACAACTTTAAGGGAATAATTTAGTGGAATTCCAGCCAGGTACATGGGAATTCGCTTAGTCTTTAGGTTTGCTGTGGCGAGGGTATTTTTTGTTGTTGTAATATTAGCAAATATCACAAAAAGAACAGATTTATTTACCGGACACTTTCTTAAGAATCGAAACAAATAATCCACTCACGTAGCTTCTATACTTCTCCAAAATAGATCTAATACCGTATGCATTCCCCAGAATGGCTCTTGAGTTGACACCCTGCAGAGAAGACGCCCGCCGCCTGGTAGCCAGCAAGTTTCCCCAGTTTTTGGCTGCTTTCTTCGGTGAGTGTTCCTATGTTGTAAACATGTCTCATATTAAATGCTAAACAATCATGTTGCAAATCAAATTATATTGATGACAATACGATATTAAATATGACCTTTCCTTATGCCATTATTATGCACCTTGACCTTTCCTGTTATTAGTATGAAGACTAATTTAAACTATTATATTAATTCCATAGCTTAACATCAGGGTGGTCAATTAATTCTTTTCATGTTTTATCGATTGGTAAGCGATGGAAAAATTATAAACACGTCAACAGTTAAAGACAATAATGTAGTTTAATTTTTTGTAAGAACTAACAGTTATTAAATGTGTTTAAGTTCAACAGTTATTCTATGGATTTGCGTCTTAAAGTGATTTATAATTAGATTTGCAATCTCTAAACAAGTTGGAATATACCAAATATAGACCTGATTGAATCATTCACCCTTCGCAACGTTGCATCACCCAGTCTGACACTCGCATTGCAAGGTGGAGGCCACCACATACACAAATCACGTTTATATTCTTTGATGAATGTGATTGCTTTTAAAATGTTCACAAATAACACTTAAGGCTAATACTACATATTGCTAAGCAATTTCAAGGCAAATGTTCAATTGTAAGAGTCACAATGATAATATTTTAAAAGAAAAACTGCACAAAAATATATATTATAATTCTGATTATAAATCATTTGTTTGCTACAAAAAACCTTAAAAAACTGCTTTTTAATGAACTAATTTCAAACCGTGGCAAGCCATTAACAAAGTATACGACGATATCCTGTTGGATACGAAACTAATTAACTTGAATATGCACGTAAACATTTAACAGTCTACATATATTATCACTTTATTTCCTCTTTCTCATACCTCAATGGTTGTAGACTACCATTATTATAACACGATATTTTAATGTTTTGCATGGTTGTGCTAGCATTACAATATGGTAAATAAATCGATGTCTAAATAAATGGAACTCGTAGCTTGTCGTATGACGTCACAATCACGTAACCGATTACGCACTTGGTCTGATCCCCTCAGTCTCCAGCAATATATTGTAACCCTAAATGACCAAAACTTTATGGTTGGTTAAACTTAAACCAATCGAGGTGCTCTGAGCATATGTACTAAAAAGTAAAGTATTTATTTAACTCACCCAAAATACGTAGGGCCTTCCAAATTTACCTTTGTATGTAAATAAGCTATTGTCATATGTATCCAAATTGTCCTCTGTATCATCCATTACCCTCTATCCAGCGACGCTGAGCGCCCTGGGTGCAGGAGCCGCCCTGGCCTGGAGCTCGCCTGTGCTGCCGTTGCTACAGAGCGCCCATGTCGTCACGGAGGGCCAGGCAGCATGGGTGGGCGCTCTCATCACCCTAGGCGCCTTTGTTGGGGCGCTACCAGCCGGTGCCTTCGCGAACATCGTGGGCCGAAAAGGGCTCCTGGTAAGTTAATCAGCGAATTAACTACAATTTCCGAAATCCTTTCTCCTTATGTGAAACACGTTTTGTTCCAGTATAAACTGGAACAAATGTCTTAATGTCTTAATCCATCCATGTCTTAATCCATAAATAACTATTTATGGATTAAGACATAGATAAAACATACTCCTTGTGTTGCTTAGTCTATGATTAAGACCACTAGCAAGTTATCTTTAGCTTCTTAAAACACAACATGAATCAATTTGATCATAAATTAAAGTATCTGGAAATGATAAGATCCCACTTGGAAATCAATATAAAAAACCACCAAAAGTGGTTCGATGGTAGAAATAAAGAGAAAACATAATGACAATTACCTAGTTTGCGCTAATCTTTTTGTTTAAATAATATATTATTGATGAACACATAACGTGTTTTTGCATTATATTGTACAAGTACAGTATTGGCCACACAGGTAACATATATTTAAATTTGAATTAAGACATATTTTCTTTAATTATTTAAGTATGGCTTTTTCACATCATTGCGACTATTTTACACTTCGTACATAAATATTTTAACATCGTTATTCCCATTTAAATTAACAGACTATTTGTAAGTTATGGATATCTTTACTGCTCTGCAACCAGTAAATAAACCCATAACCAATAAATAGTATGTTTACTAGTTTTAAAGAAAGACAAACGACGGATAAGTAGCTGGTGGATAAGTTAAACAGTTTAGCTTGCAGACACATAAATCAAGATGAAAGTGTAGGTAAAACTGGGACGCTGAAATATTTTGTTTACCAAGAGTGGAGACTGATGTGCTGATTTAGCAACGTTCTGCTTCAAGAGTCCCTCACTTTTTACAGAATCGATGGTTCAATATGTTTCACATCTTTCGTTTGAAATATTTATTCCATTTATCTAACCATTGTTATTAATCATCACAGAGCTCTAACATACAGTTGAGTTATAGGTTACACAGTTGAGTTATGGGTTACACAGTTGAGTTATGGGTTACACAGTTTAGTTATAGGTTACAATGTTTATGATCTAAAGACTGAAGTAGTTGCGTATTTACAAAGTATATTTCTGTACCACATTATGTGCAATGTTTATGGAATAGGGTGTAATAAAGTTCAACCTTCACTTTTAATTTTTAATCAATTGTGACATTATGGCATAGCCTCTGAATAGTTATGATATATTGTATACAATAAATTGCTGATACTAGCTTATGTATCGCCAAGTGGCCGGTTTAATTGCCCGAACTCCCGATGGGTCAACGCACGCGTTTCGTATTATTTACCACGGGGATTAAACATGTGTTCGAGCAATTTTGCGTTCCGTGTACCGTGTCCTCACAACACCTGTGTCGAAGAGAATGAACATCTTAATGTGTGTGTTAACTTGAAAATGAAACCATCAATGACTTTAAATCATGGTACACTACTTAAAACAAATCACTTGACGATATAAGTACAAGGAAATAAAGCCTATTTATAATAAACTAGCTGAACCCGGCAGACGTTGTCTTGCCTTTGAATATTTATAATTTAAGTACCGTAACGTTTAATTGTCTTATTGTATATGAAGTGCTTATAACTAAATTAAAATACGTACGACTACTAATGAAACACATACAGTACAAAGGATAACCGATTCTTTATTATTGCTCTTATATTAATGCTAGTGGGTAGACAATATTTTTGGTCTTTCTATTCGGCTCAATCACGTCCTGGTTGAAGTTCGTTCGCTACGCTCACTCACCTTTAGGTTGGAGCTCGTTCGCTGCGCTCACTTGCCTTCAGGTTAGCTCGTTCGCTACGCTCACTTGCCTTCAGGTTAGCTCGTTCACTACGCTAACTCGCCTCCAGGTTGAAGTTCGTTCGCTATGCTCACTCACCTTTTGGTTGCAAATTAGCTGTTGTCATAAATGTAAAAGAAATAATAGTGCTGCACCCTGTTGGCAATCCTTGTAACTTTAATGCTATTGAACATCATATAACAGAACCAACTTGTTTAATTGAAACAGCTGTTAAGATTCATTAACTCATTAATTCTGCTGCACCCTGTTGGTAATCATTGTAACTTTAATGCTATTGAACATCATGGAACAGAACCAACTTGTTTAATTGAAACAGCTGTTAAGATTCATTAACTCATTAATTCTGCTGCACCCTGTTGGTAATCATTGTAACTTTAATGCTATTGAACATCATAGAACAGAACCAACTTGTTTAATTGACACAGCTATTAAGATTCATTAATTCCATTTCTCATAAGGTTTACATGGGAAACTCCAGAGCCACTGGGGCGGAGCCGATTGGACGGATCACGAAATTGATGGTGTATAAACCTATTCCATGAAATTCTACACGTATGTACCAAGTTTCGTGGCAATCGGTTCAGCGGTGTCTGAGTTTATCACTGCCAAACATATATATATATACATATATACTAGTGGCTTGTAGGGGCAATAGCCCCTATATGTATATTTTAGTAACTATTTTGTACAAGTTACATGTGGGTTACCTTGAATTATCGTTTAACATTTGTGTATGTTAACACTGGTTTTTTTCAAATAAATGCCAACTTTTGTGAAGGTTTGGCCTTGCACTTTATTTATAATAATAGTGAAAGCTATTTCCAATGGGCATTGAATCCTTGTAAACTTAAACGGCATAATGAAGATCTGTAGATATTAGTTTAATTTTTGGCATGAAAAATATGTCCCCTTTGCCTACTCCAGTAATTACTTCTATCTTTACACTTATTTCAGACATACCTACACAACCAATCGTACTTCATTAACTCCAGACCCTTAAATTTGGGAAAAAGTTTATATCAGCTTTATAAATAGTATCCTACACATATTAAAGTAATGACATTACATACCATATGCTTTAAATAAAGTTAAACCACATGTTTAAAAGTAAACAAAGCAGACATGACCTAGATTCCCATGCTATTTCAATGTGAATTATTTTATTCCGTAGCAACTTTTTGGTGCAAGATTATGAAAAATTAATAATTTTCCCCAAAATTTCATGCCCAGACCTTTAAAATGAGACCTCTCCCAGCTTTCTACGGCCTCCCGTTAGCTCACAATTTCATTGTAAAATTTTGGGCTTACAGAATTAGATATATAGATACAAACATCCTCTTTTATACTTATATATAGAAGATTTTCGTTAAAATACTTTTTTACATTTTGACATGGTACACTGTAATTTAATAGGAATAACTTACAGGTTATATCCACATTGCCCATGCTGGTGTCCTGGTCCTTGGTGACGTTCAGCTCCTCTGTGTGGGGACTGTACGTGGGCCGAGTATTGGCTGGACTCGGGGTAGGGCTGATTAGTGTAGCTGCTCCTATGTACATTTCTGATGTAGCCGAAGACTCTGTTAGAGGTACATTGGGCACCTTTTTCCAGCTGCAAATGACCGTCGGTGTCCTCTTTGTTTACCTTGTCGGTAAGTCTTAACTTTTACATTAAGCTTTTTCTAGACTAGTGTAAACCTTAGGTAAAACTTCCCAGAAAGTATCTTTTTTCTTTTACTTCATGTAGATATGGTCTAATTACAAATTTGTGTATTTAAACTGATAATGAATTAAATATAAGCCTTATAATTTGACTGGCAGGTCTACTGAAGGATGCGCTGTCGATATCACTGGTATGCTCAAGTCTGCCGCTGGTGTTCATCTGCACGTTTGTCTGGATGCCCGAGACGCCCAGCTTTCTATTATCCAAGGGGAAGGACAAAGCTGCGGCAGAGGCTCTCCAGTGGCTCAGAGGCTATCACTACAACATACAGCCAGAGCTGAGCGTGCTGCGAGAGGTGGTGCGAGCGAACGGGAACAGCAAGGGCAGTAGCCTGGGTGAACTACTGTCTGACCCAGCCAACACTCGCGCCCTCGTCGTCACCCTGGGCCTCATGGCGTTCCAACAGCTCAGCGCCGTCAACGCAGTAATCTTCTACTCTCAGCCCATCTTTGAGGCTGTTGGCAGCTCTATTGACCCAACTGTCTCCACCATCGTGATCGGAGGGGTTCAGGTACTTGTTTGCAGAAAATGTATATCGTATGTTCGATAAATACTAATTGTACTCGTATTACCAAGAACTCATTTATTTTTACTTTCGTTCAAATTAAATTAGTGATGTTTTACTGAAAAAAGACTGAGTGAGTATATTTGCGTTGTAAGATTTTGTTAATTATCTCATCCTTCCCATCAGTTATATTTGATAAGGGCTGATTCTAAGTGACATGTGTTCGATACAGATTGTTCACATTAGTTTGTTGCGTATTAGCATTGAGTACCATTCCGACTCAATTCACCAAATCTATTTAGAAATTAGATTAATTTGCATATTTTTAATCAAGGCACGGTAAATCCTTGTGTCATAACGTGCGTGCATGTTTAAAGCCCTTTGAATATCATTGTTAAATGCATTTCAAACCGCACCCTATTTCACTGTAGACTTTTTAAGAAAGCTATATGTTTCAACATAAAGTTACAATAATATCCTACATTGGTAAAGTGACCACAAAGTAATTCTGTTTGTCAGGTTCTAGCGACATATACATCCACTGTGCTGATAGAGCGAGCCGGACGTCGTGGTCTGCTGCTACTCTCCTCAGCTACCATGAGCCTCTGTCTGGGTCTAGTAGGGATGCACTTCCTTCTCCATGACCAGAACGTATACCTGCCGGCAGCCCTCCCTCTCGCCTTCCTAGCCGTCTTCATCTTCGTATTCTCCCTCGGTTTCGGTCCAGTGCCCTGGCTCCTCACTGGAGAGCTGTTCCCCGACAGCCTCAAGGGATTGGCTGGTTCGTTTGCCGCCAGTGCTAGCTGGTTGTTGGCATTCAACGTTACATTCTTCTTCAACGTTCTCAAGAGTGACATCGGCTACGGCTCCACGTTTTGTATTTTTTCGGGCTTTTGCGTGATGGCGACTGTTTTCGTTGGACTATTTCTACCAGAAACTAAAGGTTACAGTTTGGAAGCCATTCAACATAGCCTCAGAGGCGAAAAGATACTGGACCAAGACAAGCTTCCGAGCACGGACACTCTGTCACGATTGTTGTAAATGTGTTGTCTGACATTCTCCTTCCCCATGAACACAGGGTTATAATTGTACAAATTGTTTATTTGTGTATTGTACTTAAATCGATATTTATGTGTTAAATTAAAGTATGTGCTGTTCAACTTGGAGTAATTGTCTGTTTCCCTTTAATGTGATAGTAAGGGTGTCACTCTATCAGAAACTGAAAAGTGTTAACTGCTTCATCATGATTTTAAAATCAAACTGCTACAAAAGTTGAAAATAATCGGTTAGGTTATACTACACACCTAGAATTATTGACTACCTACACTTCACACGGTCATGAATATGAACATTTGCGTACTTATGCAAATCAACTTATCAGCAAACTTGTTCCTCCTCATTAGTCAATTTGCTTTGATTGAAGCATAACTAGTGTGGGTGATAGATAAAGCGTTTGACAAGATAAGTTTGACCTCTTGGCAACGTTTAGGTGAATAATTTACCTACGATAGACTAAGTCTCGCATATAAAATGTATCAATTTTAAAACAACATATTCGAAACTACACAAACTATTTTGTCATTAGTAGGACTATTGGAATGTCTTCTTAAAATTATAAAAAGAAAAGAAGAGGGCAGAAAGGTAAAAGGTTAAACACAATGTTAAAATAATTAGTATTTAATAAACATCGTAATCTCAAGTGATTTGACAATGTATTTAATTCATTGAAACGTGTCTTTACTTTTTTATCTCCCTAAAACCAAATGGCACCACTGATGATAGGTCTCACATATCTAAATACTCATTTTACGATTAACTATTATTTTTAACCTTAGTAACATGCGGAGGTTTAAATTCTTTTAATGTATTACCATAGATTGTTGCTTCTCTCTTTAACCTATGGTATTAGATAACAAAATTGTAATTATTATTTTACTAAACCGGTAATTAATTATTGTTATTAGCTTAGATAGGTTTGATCACTCATCTGCTTAACTTATTTCATAACGTTTAGAAAATAACCAGGCCTTATGTAAACTTCTGTCCGTATGTCTGTAAGCCTCTATGGGTGATATCTCTCACGCTTTGTAGTCAAAAGCCTCAACCAAGAAATTACGTACAGCTTTGATATACAATTATTATATGTTTACAAACTAACCTAAAATATCCACCGCAAGGGTTTGAATGTTTTTAACTGTAGAGGATATTTTTGGCTATCCTTTTAATTAGTTGACTTAATGCATTGTACGTCGGGTCTTTATGTACACTGGGTACTTCTAACCTTATTTTTTCTAGGGTTGTTTTATACACAGTTAACATTGCCATGCATTGCTCGGTACGGGTGAAATAAACATGTGGTCATTTCAAGTAAGTGCAATAACCAGATTTAAAAAATCTTTTTCCATAGTTAAGAAGTTCAGATTATCTATTATGAAAATCACCACAGTTGCAATTCCTAAAGAAAGAACATGCATTTCGAAATCAAGAGCTACAACAATCGGTTTAACAAGTCAGAATTAGGTTCAATTATTAAGATTTTTTGTATACGCCATTTTGATTTACGAAATAAAGTTCGAATTATATTATAAAAACACAAGAAAAAAAGATTAACAATAAAACGCCGAGTAGATAAGTAAGTACACATATAAATTGTTATGAAGTTGGAAAATACAGTTATAACAGGTGGTTCTGTTATGAAGAGCGAGTGTAATGAAAACTGACAATAAACATTCTGACTCGTAGCGATTCACAACAATATAACCACAAATCGGCAATAACATCCCGAGTGTAGTGGTATGGCAGGAATGCTGGGCGGCCAACGGAGGAATCTTCGTGATGTTTACACGTCTCAGAATCAACTTGCCTCACCACAGTCATTCCATCCGTCTCCGATGTGATTTCATTATGATGTTTATAAGTTTAGTTATCAAGTGACACCGTATTATGGAATAATGATAAGCCCTTAAAGAAAAAATACAGCGTGTGAATATAATGGTTACCCCATAAAGAAAAAATACAGCGTGTGAATACTTAAGTAATACGTTAAGTATGAAAAGAAGACGTTTTAAACAAACGATTACATTTTAGAAATTTTAAGTTAAATGAATACTTATTCCTGTTTTTAATTCTATAATTTAAATAGTTACAAAATATGTTAACTATTTAACAGTTTACGGATTAAAGTATAACAAAGATATTTATTTACAGTAAGTTTTCATAAAAACTAACAGTCATATTTTCAAATAAAATGATTGTGGACGGATTTATACGGCCAGAATAGTTCTGCAAGGTAATATGTATAGATTCTAGAGTGCCAGCCTTTACTTGGCCAACACTATTAATCAAGTTATGTCAAGTGAATGCAGTACAACTTAAAAATAAGATATTCATCTAGAATATAACTCCAAGATACGTAGCCTTTGAAGTAGTCTTGTTCTGTCCAAACCAGCCAATCCTCGAGGGAAAGCTCTAAGATAGTAATCACCGACTGTGTGCTTAAAGTTTGAAACTCAGCTCTACTTTTTACTATTTCTCCCATTTAGTGAAAAGAATAGTAGGCCTACCGTAATATATTATTTCACACATATTTTGTGCAAGGCATTACTCTCTCACCCGTGATATTCCTATGAATTCGCTAGTTTATGTCTTTACCCAGAAAATTGTTTATTAGCGAATTTCCCTATAGGGAAGTAGCTATTACCGTAGGTGGCACGGTAAGACCTAGACCCGGGACCGATTTACTTTTTCATTTTGATGTCCCCAGAGGCCAAAAACACCATTCGTTCAAATTTTTATATATGTATATATATATAGACTTATATATATATATATATATATATATATATATATACGTCCGTGAACGCGATAACTTAAGTAATTTTTGTCCGATTTTGATTAAATTTGGTTTAAAGGTGTAAAGCGGGATAAACTTGAATGAGTTCGCGAACCAGCACGATCGGACCATGGGAACGGGGCTTTACGGGGGGTTTCATGGGGTAAAAATTGGGTTTTCTCACATTTGACCCTCAAAACACAAAATTTCCCGATTTCTCTTTAGACCTTTTTAAAGAGCTTAAAAAAAACAATTTTTTAGTATATAAAAGTATTTTTGTTCGATTATTAGTAACGGAGAAAATTAAAAAAATTTTAAATTTAAAATTCCCATGTTATTCTTATGGAGAATATAGTCAAATGTTGTAGTTTGCTTGTTTATGGATATATTTTGATCAAACTTGGTAAATTTATTTATTTTGTACTATACTCAAAAACACACTTTATTAGTTTCCTTGTAGCAGCAAACCTAGGTACTCGTTAAACCTAATGTTATTAAAATATATTTAACTGAAAATCAATTCAGACAAATGGAAATTCGCTTAGTCGGCAGGTTTGCTGCGGCGGGGGTATTTTATATTAAGCTTTGAAAATAACATCATATGACTTTTGTTCATACGTTCTAATGTTCTTTCATAATTTTTTTCCAATTGTTGTTGGAGTGATAACAAACACTTGTTGTACACAATGTAAACAATGATTGTAAATCCGCATTGCACGCACGTTTGCTGAGACGCATATTGTTGAATTTAGTGTTGAAGGTTTCGTAATGCTTTTCCTGGATAAAACCTAAACTTGAACGGTTGGATATTTAACTGTTATATATATTTAATATAGATATAATTGTTTTAGGGGTTTTGATAAGGCAAAGTTAACGCATACAACCTTCTAAAAACGAAGGTGCTCTTTAAGCAGTAATTCAGAATGGCCTTGGCTCGCCCCAAACACTGAAACTGAGGAATTATCTTTAAATATAATAATTATAATATTTACCTAATAGATTTTTACCAAAATTGGTCAAAAGAATATGATATTTAGATGTATGACATAAGCAAAATAACGTAGTCATATGGAATATAAAAACATTGTAATACTAATACAGTATATATCGAACTACCACCCCATGATTGCTAGAGAATCACTTGATGAATTATTCGTACGAATAAATCAGTTACAAAATATGTTTAATGTTGCTAAACTTACTCATTGCTAAATGATGGTACACTATTTAATTAGAATCGCTATTGTACTTGAGCAGCAGTTCCTTCTTACTGGTTCAGATAATGCCAGTGCTTTATTCATGAGGGAACGCATCTATCTTGTGCTTCTACTTTACGGTGTTCAAGACTGTAAATAAAACATGGCTTTGTTATCTCCCTTCTCATAACCAGACTGTAAACTTGAATTGATACCCTAACACCTTCGGTAAATGTTCTTCTATAAAACAACACTTTTTCAGTATGGTATATAAAATTAGGTTAAATATTTATTACGTACATTGAAATATATAAATGCGATATGATGTTTAATAACATAGCTATTGAATGGGTAATCCTTGATTGATTAGTTCTCTTCCTTTAACTGCATCAAAAGTCATCAATTGTTTAAAATATAATAAGTATAATAATTTAATGTCATAAAAAATAACTTAAAGACATTAAGAGAAAGAAAGATAGAGATGGGTGATTAAATAAACCACGAAGTAGTCTTCGGGTGTTCATTGGATAACAGACCTAAACGCTTCAACTTGCCAACAAAAATAAATTAGCTGAAAAGCAATACGATAAAAACGTGGAGTCATCGAATACGATTTATACCCAATCTGTTTCATCTCAGTTATATGGAATTAATTTGCAGTGAACAATGAAATAATACAAATATAAAAGGTAATAATATTAACCATATCTGCTCACCTTCCATGCAAGTTCGTTTTTGTCAAAATATATAGTAAAATGTATATTTTCCCGATTCAATAATAACTGCATAATATATTTAATTACAAATACCGAAAAATACTACTCATGTCTAACATTAATTAATTACGTAACAGCTACAAACAACAACAAAGTATTTATTATTATTAATAGTTAATAGTATTTAATATTCAAATATTATAACGTGAAATAATTGTATTTTTGTTTTCAAACTGAAATAAAAATGTTGGTTATTTTATAATTTTGATCTAACTAAATAAATCAAGGCCAGGTGTCTGAAAATATATGAAAATAATAGTAAAATATTTAAAACTATTAAATAATTTAAAATGAAAAATAGTTTTAATGATTACTAATAACAACATTTTCTTCACACTGTTGATTATTTTTATTAAATTT